CTTTCTAACACTCTTCTTCAGCCAAAACACTCTCGTGTCCCCGATCCCCAAACATGATTCCTGTTTTCCTTCCTTTGCACATGCCGTTTCCTCACCTAAAGGAGCCTTTTTCCAACTCTCCACCTATAGAAATCGTGCATATCCTACCAGGTCTAGCTCAAGTCTTACCTCTTTCCCCACCCATTCTATATAATAGAAGTAATTCTCTCAGAACACCATTAAATTCTCTTCAGTACCACACTCTTTTAGCACTTACCTTTGCTGGAGTACCTCTTTTGCTCACATATAAGATTCCATTTTAAGCTCATTATGTGGAACCCAGAATATTATTTTTCTTTGAATATCCACTTCCCCAGGTAAATAGGAAAGCAAAATTCTCCTACACAAATTTGGGGGCTGAGAGTTGGAGGAGGCTAAACTCGTGCAAACACCAAACCCTGTCTCCTTTCTGCTTCCAGGTGGTGGGAGGGAAGAAAGCTGGCTTCTCAGGTAGTTGATACTAGTTTTTTCCACCCTTGAAAGCTTTTGGGTCTCCAAACAAATGGAGGACAGAGATCAGGCCCTCTAAAGGTCTAGAAGATGAGCCGAGTGGGTTACTAACACGGTGGCGTGTGTGCAATCTTTCCATTGCACCATCCTGCTGTCTCAACCCTGTCTGTCGTCCGTGTATCTCCGTGCCCTTACAGCTAATGTTTCTTCAAGAACCTCCACTGTTACTCTGCACTGTGTGTTACGTTAGGCAGCGAGGCGGCCGCAGGCTCCAGGGCCCAGAGCGATGACTCTGCAGGAACGGTGGCGCCTGCCTACTACACGGCTCGGTGCGGTCACCTCCAGGCCGGGCGAGGCAGCCAGGGCCGGTTCCGCCGGCGCCCGTCGGGGCCAGCGCTCGCTGCAAATGCCCCTTCCTGATGGCCGACCAGACCTCCCACCCTTTCTGCCAGCTGCCATTTGCCCCTTCAGCGAAGGCCGCCGGATACCGGTGCCGGGACCGGGTCTAGGCACCCGAGGGCTGGCGACCACAGGGGCGGGTGGAGGAGCCGGCCGACGTGCGAGTTAAGGCAGCAGGGCAAACGCGCGCGGGAACGCCCGCCGGGCCGGGCCGCCCCGCCCCAAGACGCGCGCGCCCGGGGCCCCTCATCTACGGCGGCCCGCCCCCTCACCTCTCGCCCAACCGACAGCCACTTCCTGCCTCACTCTCAGCCAATCCTCACGCTCCACGAAGAATAGCCCTAGGGGGCGTATGGGAAGGTGCATAGAGCGATGTCGGCGCCGACCAACCGAATGCTGGAGCTTGCGTGGGGGGCGGGACTTAGCGTTGGCTGTAGCTACTCAGGAGCGAGGGGCGGCCGCGGGGCCGGACTTCGTGCGGTGGGGCTCGCTCGCGCGGCTGTGGTAGCGGAGGCCTCCTGGTTTTGCTGCACGTGACGGTCCGACCCCCTCCGCTGCCGCCTCCACTGCAGCGCGGGGCCAGGTGTGCGGGCGGGAGAAGGTTTGGGCACTGCCGGCGGTCCCAGGGAGGCTGGAGGTGAGACCGAAGGCCTGCGCGCGTCCCCGGGCCTGTGAGGACCTCGGGGGACCAGGAGCGCGCTTTCGTGGCCGAGGGGTCGGGCGTGGCCGGGGGCCGCGGGGTCGGGCTGGCTTTAGACGGCCCAGGCCTTGGCAGGCGTGCCTGCGCTGAGGGTCGAGGCCCGAACGCCGGCGCCTTCGGTTGGGGAGCCAGGCCCAGGCCGCGCCGCTGGATTCGGGAGGCGTGGCAGGTGCCCTAGAGCCTTTCTTGACCTCTGGGAAAGCGAACTTACTCCTGGAGCTTTGCTTCTAGGACTTTCTTAGGCCTCTCGTTGGCTGCCGGGCGGCCGCATGGTGGGCTGAAGGAACAGGCAGAGGTCTGGAGTGGGATTGGGCCTAGTAGGTGCCCCTACTAGTGGGTAAAGGTGATGTTGGATCGAGAGAGTATTGAGGATGAGCGTTACTGTTGCGTATCCGAAATTAAAACCCTAAAGCGCAGGCTGGATCCTAGCACCCTGAGGAATAAGGGGAATGTACTAGAACGAGAACGCGCAGTGGTTGAGAAACTTTCGTCTTAACAGTTAAAGCACCTATTTGGGAGTGGGGAGTGATCAGTCGGAGAGCCACAGGACGTTAAAAGCAGTAAAGCACCGAAAGCTCACTAAGTGCACCTCGTTTTCGTACAGGGGAGGCCTAGAGGTCTGAAACGACTGGCCCAAGGTCATGTGATTAGTTTAATGATCACCGGGATTATGCACCGGGCAGTTTTGGCGTAGTGGTTAAGGGGAAGGCCCTGGTTCAGGTCCTTAAGCGGTCGTTTGTTACTATGTGAATCAGCGTGGGCAGTTCTGACCCTTGGTGCCCGTCTCTTGCCAAGTGATGGTACCTGATGGACTTGTGAGGATTGAATTAAGATGTGTATAAAATAAGACAGGGAAGTCTGATACATAGTAACTGCCGAATAATTATTGCAATAGATTATTATAATCTGAATGCTTTTGGTACACTACACTGACATCCTCGTCTTTAAGTCCTGTTTGCCGGGACCTGGAGTCACTTGTATGGCAACGGAGGAAGAAACTGACATTGTGGATTGACTGTTGGGCATGACACAAGTGATTGCTAGTTTAGGGAAGTTAAACTGAACTGAATATTAAAAGCTTGGTAGGACAAAGATGAACCACAGTTAAGTCTCTTTACCTCTAATTGAGGTAATGGAAGATTTCACTTAATTTTTTAATAAGAAGTTTTTGTTTTCATTTTTAAGGGAAAGAATTGTATTGATCTCTAAAATTGTTGTATCAGTCTTTTCCCAGCAGGGTTTGAGAGTCATGAATAGACATGAATAGAATCAACCGTCATGTTGATCAAATGTACATTTGCTCTAATTATATGTAGAGCAGAGGTAAAGAACTGTGTGGCTGTGGGAGTTCTCCTTTCTCTTAACCAGGTGCACAAACAAGCCCAGGTAACTGGATCGTGAGCAGGCTCCAGTGAACTATGTATTAGAGTAATTTTCTAACCTATCCGAAAATGGGTGCCAGCATTCTCTGCCCCACTCCCTTCACTATCTTAACTCCACAGTTCATTTAGCACACTATCTTCCAGGGACCACAAGAGGTAAATGTTATGACAGAAGTCAGTTGCTGCAGTTTTGGCAATCATACTGTTGCATCCTTTTAGTTACATACAGAGTTCACTTTGCCCTGTGAGATAGCTTAAAGGGATGAAGTGGCAGTTGAAAATGCAGGCTCGTAAGACTTGAATTCTGGGCCCAGCGTGATAACTAGTATATGTACCACTTTGGTTTCCATAACTTAAAATGAGAATGAGAAGTCTCCTGGATGCTTCACCTTTAGGGGGCAATGAGAGGGGCAAATAAAATATCGAACATAAAATTACGTTGAGGCTGGGCATGGTGGCTCACACCTGTAATCCTAGCACTCTGGGAGGCCTAGCCAGGAGGATAGCTCAAGGTCAGGAGTTCGAGACTGGCCTGAGCAGGAGCAGGACCCCGTCTCTACTAAAAATAGAAAGAAATTAGCTGGACAACTAAAAATATATAGAAAAAATTAGCCGGGCATGGTGGCACATGCCTGTAGTCCCAGCTACTCAGGAGGCTGAGGCAGAAGGATTGCTTAAGCCCAGGAGTTTGAGGTTGCTGTGAGCTAGGCTGACGCCACAGCACTCTAGCCCGGGCAACAGAGGGAGACTCTGTCTCCGAAAAAAAAATTACTTTGAGAAGTGTAATGAACTGCAAATAGGAGAATTGGCAGCTAATAATAATTCCTAGGAAATAATAAAAGTGCCCAAACATAGTTGTAACCTATACAGCTTACAGTGAAACTTGTCAGGAAAGTATTAGTTGAATGCTTTGTTACTGCAACAGATGTACTTGTAAATTAAGCTTAATTGTGAGCTGTAAAAATTATTTGAGAATTTTCTTTTTTAAAGAATTTAGAAATCTAAATTCTATTTTGAGTATTTACATCTTAAACCTACTTTACGCTTTATAGGGAAAAAGAAAGTGCTATGGAAAAATCAATTCTAATGTTCCTGTCAATTAAAAACAAAATCTAAAAATGCAAGACAGTATAGATTTATTTTAAAATGGATTAGCATTTACAATAAAGACCACTTTGAATTTTATGTATTTTTCCCCTTTAAATGCTTTTATTTATTTATTATTATTTTTTTTTTCTGAAAGGGGATAAGACCTGGATAAATGTTTTTATTTTTTGACTGGATGCATACGGTAGTAAAAGTAGTATAGGTTGAGTGTCCTTTATCTAACATGCTTGGGTCAGAATTGTTTCTGATTTTGATGTTGGATTTGGGGAGATTTGCGTTATATTTATCAGTTGAGTATCCCAAATGAAAAATATTATGTTACTGAGCAACATCTAGTAATAATAATAATGACTGTTAATGTTGAGCACGTGCTGTAAACCAGGCACTGTTATAAGCACTTTATATACATTTTGTTTATACAGCAGTTCTAAGAGGTAGATATTGTTAATTGTCATTTTAGAGTTGAGGAAACTGACACCCAAAGGTTAGTAATTCACCAAGATGACAGGTTATTAAGTAGTCATCCAGGGTTCCTTGAGCTGACTTGAGTTCTAGCTCATGAACACTGCTATATCTCTGTCTTTGACTTTGAATGGATAATGTAATTTCTCTTAGTTTTAGTGTCCTCGTGTAGAATGGGGATAGAGTCTTCTCGGGTTCTTGCAGGGGTTATTAGATTACCTAAAGTGTCTGCAAACCACAACACAAAATTTTAAAAGTGTATATTAGATAGCTTACATGAAAGACTACCTCTTTTTCCTTTTACACCTCCTATTTTAAAACTCAGCTAGTATTTTTTAAAAACAATGAAGAATGTTAGACTATGTCATTTTTTCTATTCCTCTTTCCAATTTCTCATGGATTAAAGGAATTAGGGCTCAAATTTCTTAATTTCTTTTGAAAGATAGTCTCACAAATAAAAGCAGAGACCCAAATGGCTTGTTTCACTGGTGAATTCTGCTGAATACTTAGGGAAGAATTAACACCAATCTTTCACAAACTCTTGAAAAAATGAAGGGTGGGGATCACTTCCCTACTAGCTCTGTGAGGTCAATATTACCCTGATAATATCAAAATAAGACAAAGACTTCACAAAAAAAGAAAACCATAAACCAATATCTCCCCCATTTTTTTTTTTAAGACAGGGTCTCATTGTGTTGCCCAGGATGGCCTCTAACTGTTGGGCTCAAATTATCCTCCTGCCTGCTTCCTGAGTAGCTGGGATTATAGAGGCATACCACTGTGCCCAGCTAGACCAGTATCTTTTCTGAAAACGGTGCAAAAATCTTCACTAAAATGCTAAGAAAGTAAATCCAGCAACATATAAAAAGGGCGATACACCACGACCAGCTGGTATTTATCCCAGGAATGCAAGGTTGGTTCAACGTATAGAAATGAATGTATTGTAATACACCACATTAATAAAGAACAGAAACCACATGATCATTTCAGTAGTTAGACAGAAACACCCTTTCATGATAAACATTCAACAAACTATCAGTAGAAAGGGACTTCCTTAGCCTGATTCAGAGATAAAGAAATGATCTTTTCACTTGAAAAGATAAAATCTAAGAAGAAACCTGAAAATAATTTGAGCCCACGATTGTTTTAATGATCTTTTTTCTGAGAGGACCTTTATTGAGGATAAAGTTTCTGCCTTTAAGAAGTGAGAAATTTACTATTTCTTTAGGTATTTGGCCATTCCTAAAGTTCATCTAAATAGTTGTCTGGATTTGCTGAAATAGATGCAGAGTATGCCTACTTCTGTTAAAAAATAGAATATTTGCGTTCAGTTGAAGTTTCATGTATGTTATTAAATGTGTATAGTAAAATAATATGGACTGTTTTTTTAAGGATGTGTGCTGAGGCCAGGCGTGGTGGCTCACGCCTGTAATCCTAGCACTCTGGGAGGCAGAGGCGGAAGGAAAACTTGAGCTCAGGAGTTTGAGACCAGCCTGAGCAAAAGTGAGACGCAGTTCTCTACCAGAAATAGAAAAAATTAGCCAATCGTGGTGGTGTGAGCCTGTAGTCCCAGCTACTTGGGAGGCTGAGGCAGGAGGATCACTTGACTTGAGCCCAGTAGTTTGAGGTTGCTGTGAGCTATGATGACACCACTGCACTCTACACAGGGTGACAGTGAGACGCTGGGAAAAAAAAAAGTGTGCTGAGAACAGAATTGTAATCAAAAAATGTTAATTTAGGAAAATTCACAAAGAAAAGTAATTATTTGATGAAGCAGGAATAAATAGCAGATAAACACAAAAATTTCCATATCCAAATGCTAAAATTACATATACACTGTTGCAAGGAAGAGTTAAGAAGAAATCGTATAACATAATTGGAAGAAAGCAAGTTTTTCTTGTCATGTAAAATCATACAGCTTGTTATGTAAAATCATTCAGGCATATTAGACCTTTTGGTCAGGTATGAGAATTTAAAATTTTTCAC